CTAAACATATAGGAAACGTATTACCAAAATAAAACATGAAAAAACAAATAGAGACAAGGTCTCAAACATATGAACTTGACACAGAAAGACTACCATGGACTCTGGAAGGCAGACAAGAATAAGGGCACAGAAAGAAAGCACCAAGAGGACTCATAAGCCAAGGAACTAAGATTAGTGCCACAAATAATTAAACCACAGAAAACCAATAATAAAGATGAGAGTGATATCAGAAACCTTATGAACATAAGGAAACACAAAATTGACTGATTTATCACTTTTTGAGAGGTAGATATCCTCTGTTTCTCTGATATAGAGTCCCTTTTGTTCCTATGGGACCACAACGTCAGACATGGAGCACATGGTGACTGTAGCCACCAACATTTTTTGGTATGATTTCTTAGGTGTTGGAGAACTAAATCAATGGAAGAGGGGCAGACACGGAGTGAGACAGAGACTTCAGTTGCAAGGCCATTGGAGGATCCCTCCTGTCACAATCATCCATGCCAATGCACAATCTTTACGCAATAAAACTGACTGTCTTCAGTCAAATGTCAGTTTTTTAACAAAGCACAAGAATGTCAGCCTTATTACCCTGATGGAGGGACTTAAAATAAGGGCTTAATCAATGGTTTTAAGTCCACTTGGTGTGTGGTCAGAGGAGATACTTGTGTTTTTCTTGTATTGACTGAGCCTTATTCTAAAATGTTTGCTATGACTTGAATGAAATAACAGACTGTCACAGAATAAGTGTGAGGACCTGTCAATCCCAAAGGAGGAAATGGACATATTTTCAAATATCAAACCTTGGATGTGTAAAGCTTTGAAAAAATATTATAAATCAGAGGACTGTTGCATTTAACAGTCGGTGATGGTTGTGTTCAGGGCAGAGAGTTTTCTGGAATTTTTTCTATTTCTCTTCTCAGTGTCTCTTGAGCTTCCGGGGGTTCTTCACATTTTAAAAGGACTGCATTGCTGATGTATAATGCATTCTTGTGAAAACTTCACTTTTGTGTACCACTCAGGAAAAATTACCCCCCCCTTCAATTTGCCAGTAGATCGGTTTGAACCTTAACCAGCAATGAGTTCATGAATTTCTTTACAAATAAAATTTTAACTATTTGAGAAAAAATGATTTATAACCATCTGACAGACATATCATTATGTACAGCTACTTTGAGTACTGCTATTACATAGACCCTTTCTAACTGATTTGATTTACTCAGTTAACTTCAATAATTACTTCCTCCAAATCTCAACATGTTTATTAGACGTCATTCCTACAAGACTGCTCAAAGAAGTCCTACCATGAATTAATGGTAGGATTGATCATATTAATTTACAAATATGATGAGTCTGTTCTCATTACTGGGCCACAGGCCTTTAAAGTGTCATGCTTAAACCATTACTGCCATGGTGCTGGGTCTGGAGGCCCAGTCTATGTGTTTTGATTATTGGAATTCTGGGATTTAGTGGTTTTTCATGGTTTCGTTTTTTATTTCTTGCTCATTTAGTCATCCTTTTCTAGTTGTTAGGTTTTGTTTCTGTGTCTGTAAGATGTTTGAGATCTAAGAGAGGTGATCAGGGAATCGCAGGCTTCTAAGGGCTCACAGGTTTGGGAATCACAGAGAGAACTGGCTGATGCAAGGAACTGGCAATGATTAAATCTTTGTTCAAGCCTTGAGTAGCCAGCCGAATAGACGATGAACAGCGGGTGAGTCAGGACAGCTGATTACTGACAGGTGAGCTGCTGACAGGGAGACAGAGAGACAGAGAGACCCAAAACGAAGTACAATGTGCACAAACACCAACACAGAGAAGCAGGGAAGTGAGACTCAGGGATCATGACACAGAAAAACGTATTCACACTAAATGTAGGTGCTGTGGACCAAACTGTTCCAGAAACTGCCTCTTAGTGTTGAACTGACAGTAATAAAACTGTTATAGAGCTTTACTTACCGTTACCCTGTGGTGGACTGCTGAGCTGAGATGCATACACAAGGCTTTGTTTGTGTTTCAATATCACAGTTATTTAAATTTACCTAACATCATTATTTATCGAGTGCCTGTAGCGCATCAGGAGGTCATCTACTAGTTGGAATGTTGGTGGTTCTATCCCTGGCTGCTCCAGTCTGCATGCCAAGTATTCTTGATAGAAAGCATCTCAGTGGAGAGAGAAAATAAGGCATAGTGTTTGTATGAATGTGTTTGAATGGGTGAATGAAACAAGTTTTGCATAGGAAAACTACATAGGAAACAGTCTATTTACTATTTAATTAATGTTGTTCCACAAGCAACACTTAAACTGTCCAAACACTTTGCTGTGAACACATAGCTTTGCAAAATAAAGTTTCTGCAAAGCCGGGAGACATTTTCTGGCAAAAACAAAGAAGCTCAAAGATACTGTTGCTTTTAAAAAAATTTCAGTTGCAGTTCGTTCAGATTTAGCGAGCAGAACTACTCACTTAGATTTAGGTTAGCTTAATAACATTTTTGGCTAACACAGAAACCTGAAAAACAGCACACATTATTGACCTTTTAGTGCATGTAGTAGGAGGGTTTTTCAGTACCATCTAATATTTTTCTGTTTCCCTTATCAGAAAGAAATATAGTCATTTGCTTCAGTATCAGATTTTTCAGAAGACAAATCTTCTATTCCACATCTTATTGCAGTTCTCATACCTCCTTCTCCATCTTTTGAGCTTTACTTCTATCCTACTTCTTGCACCAATAACCCATAGAGCTCACTTTGCATTTCCTTTCATGTACACATGCAGGAGAAACCTGGATGTTAACTTTGGGATGTATCGGAAAGATACCCTAGATATGTCGAACTTACATCATACTACAGGACCAAGCCAAAATACAAAACAGTTGAAGTAAGGAAACTGCAGAATGGATGTGTGGAGAAGGTGACTTGAGTGTGATGATGGAAAATCAAATGCTCAACTTACTTTTATAACTTCCACTTCACTTATTCCTGCCTTTTCTTATTTGTATCCCTTAAATTTCACATAATGTGAAAATATTTGATTGTGATATGTTTAAATTGGAATAAAGTGTCATTTGAATTGTTAATTTTAAATTTGAGTGTTGAAAGCAGCTTGTATTTTAATTGTAAGAGAGTGTGGCTGGAGTGTTCACACACATCTTCAACCTTTCCCTCTCTCTGTCTGTAGTCCCAGCCTGCTTCAAAATGGCCACCATCGTCCCTGTACCCAAATCCTCCACCATCTCCTCATTGAACGACTGGCGACCTGTAGCCCTGACCCCCATCGTAAGCAAATGCTTCGAGAAGCTGGTCAGGGACTTCATCTGCTCTGCACTACCCGACTCACTGGACCCTCTACAGTTTGCATACCGCCACAACAGGTCCACTGATGATGCCATAGCCCTGACACTACACACTGCCCTGTCACACCTGGAGAAGAGAGACACGTATGTGAGAATGCTGTTTGTAGATTACAGCTCAGCATTCAATACCATCGTTCCCTCGAAGCTGGACAGGAAACTGCAGGATCTAGGACTGAGCAGCTCCCTCTGCAGCTGGATCCTTAGCTTCCTGTCTGACAGACGCCAGGTGGTCAGACTGGGCGGCATCACCTCATCCCCCATCACACTGAACACTGGTGCTCCACAGGGGTGTGTACTGAGCCCTCTCCTGTACTCACCCTACACCTACGACTGCACAGCCACTAACAGCTCCAACATCATTGTGAAGTTTGCGGACGACACTACAGTGGTGGGTCTTATCACCAACGGTGATGAGACGGCTTACAGGGAGGAGGTCAGCGCCCTGACCCACTGGTGTCAAGACAACCATCTCACCCTCAACGTCGCAAAGACAAAGGAGTTGATAGTGGACTTCCGGAGGTGCAGAGAAGTACACACCCCCATCACCATCAACGGCGCTGCTGTGGAGAGAGTGAGCAGCTTCCGGTTCCTTGGAGTACATCTGGCTGAGGATCTTACGTGGTCAGTACACACAAACAAAACAGTGAAGAAGGCGCAGCAGCGCCTCTTCTTTCTCAGGAGACTGAAAAGATTCGGCATGAGCCCCCGCATCCTCAGGACCTTCTATCACTGTGCCATTGAGAGCATCCTCACTGGATGCATCACCACCTGGTATGGCAACAGCACCGCCTACAACTGCAAAGCTCTCCAGAGAGTAGTGCGGTGCTCTGAACGGATAATTGCAGGTGAGCTTCCCTCCCTCCAACACATCTACAGGAAGCGCTGCCTGAGTAAAGCGGGGAGGATCATCAAGGACTCCAGTCACCCCAGCCATAAACTGTTCAGACTGCTTCCATCAGGAAGGAGGTTCTGCAGCATCCGGTCCTGTACCAGCAGACTGAGAGACAGCTTCTTCCACCAGGCCATCAGACTGCTGAACACGTCATAGACACCTCAGCTTCACTACTGGAACTTTAACATTATGCACTCCATACTGTATATAAATGCCACTTGTTTTGCACATATTCAACTCTGTATATTTTATATATTTTATTATTATTATTATTATTATTATTATTTTTTATTATTTTTTATTTTTTTTACTATTTAATTTGTAAAAATGTGTACACACACACACACACACACACACACACACACACACACACACACACACACACACACACACGTAGGAAAATATTTAGTATACACATCCAGAAATGCATACACTGTTATATATTGTACATATATTTATTAGTTTCAGGTTGGCCATTCTTGTATTTTGCTCGTTTGTGTTGTTGTGTTTGCACATCTCTGTTGCTTGTGGGGCTCGCACACAAGAATTTCACTCGCATGTGCTGTGCCAGTGTGCCTGCACATGTGATGTGACAATAAAAGTGATTTGATTTGATTTGAAGTTTAAACACAATTTGATTTTTGATTTTCTTTTTTTTCAAGACTGACTTTGATTTTGACTTTTCTTATTTTTTCAAGCATTACGTCTTTGATCATGTTTATGCAGTGCCCTGGGTTATTTCCTACGCATGCGCGTAGCAGAATCAGCCTGTCAATTCGAAAGCAAGCGAGGGAAAACTGCTGTGGTAGGTTTTTCACGTTTATTGACAGCGTGTATTATGCTCTTTCATTATAATGACTACTTCAGATTCGTTTTCGGATTTTCTTTTATTAACTTTAATTAGTTTGCAGATAGTTTGTTCGATGGGCGTTTGACGTCGTTGTACTTATGAAAAAGCGTGTGTTGCGAATCACCTTGTTGTTGAATTGTGCTATACAAATAAACTTGCCTTGCCTTACATCATACACAGCACATGCCCAGATGTTTTAATAACAAGCAGACTGCATTCTGGAGTTCGACCGACATCTAAATTAGTAGTATTATTTACGTAAAGAAAAGCAAGTTTATTTAGATCCTCTTTGTCTTCCGCGTGTCCACAACTTCTCAAAGTTTAAGCCATAAACGTGCAGCATTATGTGTCTAATATTATCCGAAATTCCCAGTACGAGGTATATATTTATAAAAAATATATGTATAGTATCTTCTGTTTCATTGCGTTGTTGTCCAGATCAGCAAAATTTAAATTGAAGCATTTCTGAGTGGAGTTTGGTTTGGGGTTATTTGAAAAACAGAACTTATTTCTCGCTTTTCCTTGTTGTCTACCTTAATCCATCAGGTTGCAGGGTCAATAAGAAGTCTTTAATTTTCCTTAAATAAGTGCTAAATGGGTTATGAGTTCGTGTTAAACTGGTTATGGGTTCACGTTAAACTGGATGCTAGCAAAGCTGCTAGTCTTTGTGGTAGTGTTTGCTAGCTAACGACCTCGTTAACAACTTAATTCCCTGTGACATTAGTTGAACGGAAGATAATATTACAGTACAACAGCCCGTTGTCAATACCCAAGTAGGCAAGTTTGTACTTGGTAAGTTCACTTGGAAGTCCAGACTTCCGAGGACTCTACACAAACTTTACAACTGGAAGCGGGGAGTACTTGATGACGTCACAGTTCTGCTCAGCTCACAGTGTGTTTTTACTGCCACCCCCTTAATTTTATTGTGATCAATACTTACAGAAATTCCTCTGATACGCCTAATCACTAGATTTCTTTAAAAACAGTTTATTTAGGAAAGTGTTTTTAATCACTTTGGCAAAATGCTTGGCTATAAAACAGCCATCCATGTGAAATTATTGGGAAAGAGTTCAGTAAAGACTCATTATTTACATTGGTGTGATCTTAGAAGATGGTAATGAACTTTATGCCACTATACTGAAATAAATATTGAATAATCAATATTCATTTTCAAGTAACATACATATTTGTGTAACATACATGTAATTATAATCTTATACACCTCCACCTATTCTTAGTCTTATTCATAACCATTATTTTATTATTATAATTTGCCTTCTAACATCCATAGAATTATATGCTCTTTTATATCATCTATGATCTGCTTCATAGTGTCTAACAAACTTCATACAGTTAAGCATTAAGAGTCCCTACAGGACTGAAGGATAAACTTCATCTCTCTCAATAACACATTTGACCTGTATACATAGCTCACACTATGTATTGAACAGAAAAGAAACAGATCAAATGTTACAATTACTTTATATCTTATACTATTATTCCTAGACTCTCAAAACTTACATTAAACAGTAGGTATTAACAATAAAGTTGACTAAATATTAAAAAGATGTAATTTGGTCTTTTCCAAAGAATAAATTTGCAAATATACTGACAGTTCTCCACGGAGACATAAAAATTAAATAAAATACTCAGTTATGAATCTTAACTTTAAGCTCAGGCAAACAGATTTCGCTCAGGGAAAAATGAAACACTGACATAAACCAAACATTGATTATTAGCCATAATTTAAGTGAATTATATATTTTTGCAAATGTTGTGCTCCTCTCATCATGCATATTGAAAAATAGCCTATGCGTACTGGCATTCTTGAAGTAAAGGTGCAAAAATTGCATTTGTTTCTTGTAGAGAGGAAAGCTATGCTCCTTTGCTCCTTGTTTGTCATGAAAACGTGACAGAATTTGAATGTTTGGGAGGAAGAGAAGAGTAAACATATGTACACAATTCGAATGTGGTGTGTTTAAAAAAAAAACCCAAAAAGAAAATATGACACTTTTTAAACCTTTTGGAGCAACTCTCACTGGTAAAGACACAACAGACTTTAAACTGTTATATTTTACTGTAGCTACTACTGTAGCTTTATGATATTTAGTTAAGAAATACTAAAATAATTTAGATGGTTAAATTATGACTAAAACCAAATGACACTTTAGTCAAAAGACTATCATTAAAACTAAATTAACATTAGCTGTCAAAATTAATACTACTAACTTGTACAAGAACTGATGACTCAGTGGAAACAAAGAAGCTCTAACTAAGAAGCTCTCTTTAGAGGTTACCTTTTCTGCTGCTCCTGGCAGCAGCGATGACTGTTAAATTAAAAACCAAGAATATACTGTCTGCTTATTCTGTCTCTTTAGCAGTAAGTGGTTCTTCATTGTTGGCTAGCTGCATTGAAAGGGGAGAATCTACCTGTTAACCACAATATTTGGGTTTGTTTATATTGTATATATTTGTTTATAGACATTTTAAATGAGGACTGTGGACAAGAGCTGTTTGAGCGAGTTGTGCGCTAGTGGTTCACAGGACCCACAAGCTGAAGTTCAACACTGTCCCCCTTTTTTGGGGGGTTAATTTTTGGGGTTTGTTTCTGTCTTTTTCACTGAGTTGATTGTTCTGTCACAAGTTAGTTAAGATAAACTAAGTATATTAGCAGCAAACAACCAACCGAGTGATGTCACATTCAATACTGGCACAAACTGGTGCTACAGATGCTCTAAAAATGTTACATTTAACCCTTTTTTAAATCCTAGCTTCATGGACAGTGTTAAATTGATGAGAGTATTTTTAGAGTAGGGGTTCATAGTGTAAATTAGCCTTAATACATGTAGTGTTTCATGGACACTTTAAGATGCACTTGATTTACTGTGTTTTGAGTGGTTGTTACTGTTGTATTGACTTATGACATATGACTGTTCAGTTGGAAGACATTTCTCTTCTCCAGGATACGGACTGTTTCTGTTATTAGCATTTTATTAACTAATGCACTATTGCTTACAAAACATTCCACCAGGTGTGTGGCAGGCAGCATCTTCCTAACTTCAGCCATCTATCGGATTTGACTCCCTTTGGCAGAAGTTTCACATTGGGGAAAATTTGAAGTTGATTACTTTTACAGAAGCATGGGTTGGCTATTAACAGACAATGCTTACATTGTAAGTGCCTTATGATGCACATTTATTGTATTGGTTATTTACTTTTGAGATGGGTAATTATTCTCTGATTTTATTTCTGATTTGAACAACTGTTGATGGAATTACAAATGTAAACACAGCCTATAAGAAATTCTATACTTATTTAATTACAATTGAGTACTTACCTTGTATTTTGTTAATTTTACATTGTCCCTACATTTTAAGAAAAAGAACTGATGACTTATGAGAGAGTGGTCCAAACTGTTTAAAATTACATGGACTATAAAACTCTGAGTCACTGACCTAGGCCTTTAGGTTAGATATGGAATTTTCATTAACATCTACAGCATTATAATGTCTTGTTTTCAGCAGAATAATATTTTTCATAAAGCACAGGGCAAGCTTCAGAATAATAACATGCTCACTTTTCTTCATTGCAGCCACCAGAGAGTAAAGTGAATAGTGACTAGGCAGTTTAGTAGTTAGTGGTAGTCCCTAATAAAACATTCTCAAAGAAGAAACTTTGATAATTTGATAATGTATTTACAAAAGCAGGAGTGCGCCTATATGAACTTGCACATATATGTGACTGTCCCTTTCCCCTCTTTACCACAATGAATCTAAATTTTGTAGCAAACAATGAATAACTGTTCCCATTTTACCTGGTCTTATCACTAAATATTTGTGAAAGAGCAAAAGAGCTCACTCATCCTTTTTTACCCACCTGATGGGAGGAAAAGTCAAGTTCCCCAAGGCTTTTTAAGTGGTGACCACTCGCTGTGCCATAATTTGCATGGTGTGTGTGTCTTGTGACCTGCTGCTGGACATGCTTATGAGACAGTGAGGACATTTTACTTTCATGTGGCTGCAGCTTGATGAAAGTGAAGAAATTAACAATTTTAAGTATTAAAACCAACAAAACTAAAAATTATGTGTATATAAAATTTTAGGGACTTTGTCAAGTGTATGTATAGTTCAGGGCATTTTGGCTTTGGCTTCCTCTGTATAATTAGCTTGTCTCCCCCACAGACATAAGGAGCAGGCCCAAAAAGATATCAGAAAAGTCAAATGAAGATAACATTAATGGAATCATTGTTATCTTTCTAAAAAGACAACATAGTGTGACTGTGTGTCTGTGTTTTTCTTTAATTAAAAAAGAGGAAAGGAAAACTGCTTCTACTGCTGTATTGTCTATATGCTCCCAGCACATAGCTTTCCAACATTATTTTGCTTTAATATACAGTATCACTGTATATGTTTAATATGAAATGAATTAAAAGGGCTTCTCTATATTGTAAATCATATTGTTGAGATTTTTAGATACCCTGGTATAGCCACCTAAGCGTAGGTTGGTCTGCTGCTTTTGAACCTGCTAGCCTCCATCCAGAAATACTTCTGTCTATTGACCTTGATGTCCTTGACCTGTCTCATGCCAGGTTATTTACCAGCTCAATAACCTGTGCATGCAGTGAGTGTGTCTGTTTCAAAATGGTTTGGATGAGCCACACTGCTGTTTAAATAGTGATTTGAAGCTACATAAATTAAAGCTGAGGCTTGGCACTTTTAATATAGTATTCATTTCTATACACAGATGCTCAAATTTGTTTTTTATAAAGCACATTTAAACGCAACTCACTGACCGAAGTGCTATACAAAAGACAGAATGGATAAAAATAAATGAGCGAAATGATAAGAAAGAAATCAAATGCATTGTAGTAGGTGCTAAACTGATAAAGGCAGACTCAAATGCCAATGAATAAAAATATGTTTTAAGTCTTAAAATACTGAACGGAGCTGCTAGATGGTTCACTTTAATCATCAGATTGCTGTTTGTTCTTGAATAGATCATTTTAGTTCAATTGCAGCTTTTTTGAGACAGATATCACTTTATACCAAAATTGGGCTAAAAGGGACTTAAAAAGCTTCATAAAGCTCGGAGAACTAAAGAATCTAAAAATTATTTTACTTTTTTGTGACGAATGGCCATTTGATTCATTGTTAATTTAAAAATAATAACTAGAGCAAGTCAGCAATTCAGTGTCTGGTATCAGGTTATACAATGTGTAGTGAAAAATGATTGTTACTGTTATTTTTTATTTAATTTAGATTTTGGTTGTGGAAAAGAATCTTTATGTGAGTTGGCAGGAGTGGATGCGTCCAGTCTTTCCCTGCATGTCCACAGAGAGCCCATGACTCACTACTGGAGTGTAGTTTTAAGTGATTTTTATAAACTGTGTTCTTTCATTGCGATTGTTGTCAACACACTTCATGTGCTCAGCACTCAAAAACGGCTCCTAACTTGATAAAAGCCCCTATAGGATACAGTGTTTGGCTCAGTCATACTTCAGTAAATCACAATGGCTTATGAGGGGGGCCAGTCAGTACCTATATTATACTGTGTGAATACTGAGCATCCTCCCACCCCAGCAGTCATGTCTCCAATGCACTTCTGCCACACTCTGTTTATGGTTCAGCGGTGAGCTGGTATTAGGTGGTTCATGTTTGGGGTTTTCAGTGATGCTCTGAGCAATAGGAAGGCTGTTGTCTAGATGGGATGGCAATTCCTACATTTGGCAGGGATCAGCTGTTGTCCCGGTGCAGCTGACTGTTGGCAGCCGGCTGGTGGCCTCTGTGTTGCTTCTTTGTCGGTGAATCCTCCTCCTGTCAGAGCAGACTGAGGATGACTAACAAGAGTAGCTGTATGCAGCTGTCATTATGAACTCATCACAAAGCTGCAGGCCTGTTCTTTCATTTGTAGGAAATAAAAACAACCAACTATTTAAATGCATTTAGTTTATGTAGAAAAGTAAAGGCAGTAATCACTTTTAGGAACATCTCCTCTTGACTTTTATTGTTCTTTTTAGAGGTGATGCTGCATTTGTTGATAGGCTTTATTTTGTTTTAAAATATTATTTTCAATCCAGTTTGGGTTCACTTAGTTTCCAGAGTAATTTTACTCATTTGTTTAGTGTTATGGTTTGAAAAATGGTTGGCTTTGTGGACATTATTTGTTTTTAAGTCTGTTGTATGAAGGTTATTTGTCAGGCTAAGATTTAGGAAAATCAGATTTTTTTTCTAGTTGAAAGTGCTAAATAAGTAACTCAAATAACATCAACCCCTCATAAATTTTACCATTCAAAAGTAGCTGAAAATCTGCCAGCACAGCTGCCACTCCTTGTCTCGCGAGACTGGACGGGTCCTGGCTTAAAGTTTGCTCAGCTTTGTGGCAAAGGATAAAATAACTGCCAATGGGAGTATATGATGCCTGACGTTGCTGGTAAATGGGTGTGAAACGGAACAAGTAAATGCATTTATTAACTCAACCCATTTTGACTTCTAAAATCCGCTATTTGCATACCAGAGTTTGCTTGTAAACCTTGCGTACACCATAAAGAAGAGCGCGCAGTTTACTCTTTGATATTTTTACATGATTTGTAGTGGTGTGCAGCATTAACCAGTTAAATAAAAATTATGGACTATTTTTTGGTGTTTGAACTAGAGGTGGGAATCACCATACATCCCACGATACGATATTATCACAATACTTAACGCACAATACGATATTATTGCAATTTTTTAAAATATTTTGCGATATATATTCATTTTCTCTAATATCAAAGGCTCACACTCAGTCTTTCTCTCATTTCAGTCAGTTTTATTGTTGACAAACTGAACGGTTTGTTTTACAGTCTAGTCCAACTTAACTGAATGCAACCATCTGGTATAGCTATTCTGAACTATGCAATTTATGAAAACTATGCAGCCCATTCAGCAACTGAAGAATTTGAAAGTAAATTAAAACAAAATATAATTTTACATTAAATAAAAAAGTTTTAAACTTAATTAAAATAAAACATGTCTTAAATTAAAATAAGTAAACTGTCATGTTTATTGCTGCCAAAAAACAAGTTAAACACATTTGGACAGTGTCAGGATTCTTGCTCAGAAAAAGGATCAACATGCTCTGAAGTCAGAGCATGTTCCAGTCCACAAAAACTTTTTTGTAACAAAATATCGATTTCTGCTGTCCCTGTATCGATACATGATTAGCAAACAAAATATCACGATACTACACAGTATCGATTTTTTCCCCCACCCCTAGTTTGAACTGAGTTGCCAGATGAGTAGCCCTGCCACAGGCCAGGCTGATGAACCTACAGGTGTAGGTGAGCCTGTGAACACAGAGCAGCTCTGAACTCATGAATAAATCACTCATCCTACACTAATTCAGGCCTCAAGCTCCACCCCTTGGGTTTAAATCAGAGAGTTTTATTTGATGGTGTTTTTTTACCCTTGTTGAGTTTCCACCTGACTGAGCAGTTGAGCACACGCTCTGCTGAACAGCTCGTCTGCCTCGCAGGCTGTTCCTGCTTTGCTGTCTTCTCTTGGTTAGGGTACCACCAAGGGACTCGCCAGTCAAATGTGCTTGAGATAAAACTAACCAGCTCTGACATGAAGCAGCATGTTACCTACTATGAACAGGGCCAATACTTTTCCTGGGTTTTTCTCTGAAATGCCTAAAAGATTTGAATCCTTCTGCTGTACTGTTGACATGGATCTGGTGGTACCTGTCACAGGTATGTTCAGGTAATGAGTTGTCTGTGGTAGAGGAAGGTTCAACCAGACTTTAAACAAACTGATCACACAGTGGATCAGTGTCTGTCAGCTGCTGCGGGTTCTATATTCTTGGGCGGATGACACATTCAGGTCTGAAGCTGCTGACATTCACTTTTGTCAACTGGATTGGTGGCAGACTGGAATTATACTAAACTTGTCCTTTTTTATTTTATTTAATTTTTTCTATCTCAGCCTCTCAGGTCTCACCTTGATGTCATGCCTGTCCATGTGCTGTTGGAGGGTACGGGGCCTCAGATACCAGCACATCTGACCAGGATTCCCATCTCTCTCATCACCACCAGCACAGATGTCACAGACAAAATAGTCAAGGTCTGTTACAGCAAGCCTAAAAGCAAAATATATAAAGTGCCCATGAACGTGTGTGTGTGTGTGTATGTACACAAATAAGATCTGTGTGTCCCAAGCAATAATGGCTTTGTACTGCTCTAGCAGAATGAACATTGTGTGATGATGGTAAATGGCCTGGTTCTTATATAGCACTTTTCTACTCTACCTGAGCATCTCTCATTGTCACAAGCACTTTTTTTCTACATCACATTGCATTCTGTCTAACATTCATACTCCGATGAATGCATCCGGTTAGTATCTTGCCTAAGGCATGCAGACTGGAGCAGGGATTGAACCGCCAGCCTTCCAAGTAGCTGCTTTAACTCCATAAATACAACCACCCAGACTCACCCAGTATAAAAACCTGCAATCTTAAAGATTACATAAAGGAGTTGACATCGTTTGTGCGCAAAGCATGTATAGTCCTAACTCTGGAAAGTGTATTAATGTAACTAATAGACTTGACCTGGAAGTTGCATCTGAATTTATTCATATGTGCATATATCAGTGTTTTATATCTATTTAAATTTTTATGATTGTGGCTCATGAAAATCAAAAATCAAGTATCTCAGATTATTAGAATATTTCCTTATATAAACCAGAAATGGATTACAATATAGAAATGTCAAATTTCTACAAAGGAGTATCAGGGCCACTTTAAGAAAAGAATATTATTGATCATTTTGAGAATAAATTCAGTTTAGTTGTTAAAGTTGAGTTGTAAAGTTGTAATTCTATTTCAAGAAAAAATGCTATATTAAAAAAAGTCGAAATGCATAGATTACTGTTGTTGTTGTTTCAAGCCAAACTGCCAGGGGCGCTATAGCCTCTACAAAATGCCTTGTGTAGAGAGTTAGTGAAACAAATTGATCAGTCGTCTTGTGATACAACATAAATATTCTTTATTGCACAAGGTGTAACCATTGATAGCCTTGCATCTGTCCACTGCCAGCCATTTCATTTTGGACAAATTCTCTCTTCTAATTTTGTGTGTGTGTGTTCCCCCCCCCAATCTGACCAGGCGCAGCTTTTTAAACCATCTTTTCAACGTCCATATATTGATCACTACAATATGTTTGTGTGCTAAAAGAGAAATCATTTCCTTTCTTGTTACTAAAACTGGTTCTGAAGTAAGATTAACTCAGAGAATGTAACCGTGGCGGCTTATGTTGGAAGAACAACTGTAATCTCTACATTTTCTCTTTTTTCTCAATAGCATTTCAACTTTAATCTCAAAATGATCAATGACACTTCCCCGCTGTTTTTCTTTCCCTTTTTCTTTCTCCCTTTTCTTTTCCCCAGTGAAATCTGTCCCGTGTTTAGCAAGTGAAAATAAAATAAAAAAAATCAATAAAAGCAAAGGTGAATCAAATAGACCATTACGGCAAGGCTGGGATGGTCCATTTGGTAAAGTAAATCCATTGGGCATCTTTCTTTGCCTTTAGACAATAATTCTGATGGCAAAAGAGCCAAATGCGACAGGCGAAAAAAAAGAAAAAAAAAAGAAAAACATCAATGACAATGTTTTTGTTTTTTTTGTTCTTTTTTAAATTGTGACCCTAAAGCTGTCTGTATGTTCATCTATATACTTGCTACTTGGTTGGGACTCCTTTTCCACAAATATCTACCTCAGTGTGGTGTGCCATTACCTTGTGGCACAGCTGAGATGTTACTAAAGGCCACGTTGCTTTGATAACGGCCTTTAGCTCTTCTTTATTTTGAAGTTGACATTTACTCATCTTCCTCTTGACAGTACTCCATAGAGGCCCTGTGGGGTTTAGGTCATGCAAGCTGGCTGACCAGTCAGGGTAACAACATGGTAGATATGGTAGAAGTTTTGGCACTGTGGGCAGGCACCAAGTCTTGCTGGAAAATGAAGTTGGCATTTCTATAAAGCTCAAATCATCACAGACTGTGGAATTTTGACACTGAATTTCAAACACCTTAGACTCTAAGATGAGAAAATAGACTGTTGCTCAGTGGTTCAAAGGCTTTTCAGATAAAAGTAAATTGTACCTCTTCAATCTTCACCCAGACTCCAGGACCTTGATTTAGAAACAAAATCTACAAAGATACTTGATATTAGGAATGCAACAGTGGTAGCTCCTTTCCTGAAGAAGCCCCTTTCTGTACGTGGTGGTTCATGATGCACTGACACCAGCCTCGGTCCACTACTTATGAAGCTTCCTAGTTTCTTGAATTGACTTTTCTTGACAACCCTGTCAAGACTGAAATCATCTCTGTTGCCTTTTGACCTTTTCCTAGCACACACTTCTCTTCCAGGCATGTTTCAATCAAAATGCTTTGATATAGCACTCTGCCAACAGTCAACTATAATGAGAAATAATTTGGAATTATTAGAATGAAAGAAAATAAGACCTGAAATGTATATAGATAAGGTGACAAGTTCAGAGTGCATTTTTCTCACTTTCTAGCTTCCAGTCCCCATCTTTTCATGATTTAGAGCACAGCAGTGATATAAGCACAATCACCTTTTGTCCTCTGGCCCATTTCTCAAGGTCTTATTAACATTGCTTGGTTTTCAGATTTGGCTTTGATATATTGACAGGAAATTTTGCAGAACGTCAGTCACAGCAAAATGCTTTTGAGTTCATTTTCACATCAGGATTTTTTTTTTCAATTTACAGGGGAAAGTGGTTCACAAGGGGCCGCTAGTGCCATTGAACAATGACAGTTTTATCCTGAAGATGGTCATCCAAGGTAATGTTTAAACAAGTATTAGCTGTCCGTCAATAAATTCAAATATGTGTGTGTTTTGTCATGCCTTTACTTACGGTTCCCATTACCTTCCATGTGTTTATGATAATGTGGTGGTTGGTTATCATGTCAAAATTTAGTTTCGTTTAGAGAGACTTTTGCACTCGACATTGTGTATATAAGTGTTTGCGTTTTATTTTATTTTTTTCATTTTATAATTTGTTTTTAAGTAAGACACTGTTTAATTACATCTGACTAAACAGATTTCTTGTGTTGTCCAGCAGTCGATTCAGAATACGAAGAAATTTAGTTTATTATCGCACACACCAAAGAGAACTAGTATACCCTCTTTAGGCATCTATTACAATAGTTTCCCAGTGTTAGTTATAACTAGTAATTCAAGTAGCCTAATAGTGTAGCTCTAGCTATAGTTGCTGTACATAATATAAACTATCAACTGAATTTTACCATGAGACCCATGTTCTTCATCTTTCACTGGGCCTGAGTTCAGTGTTCTCATTTGGAAAAGAGTGGATTTGCTCACTTAGGGTTTTGAAGTTTCTGCCTCAGGCGGAGGAGTCCACATACATTATCTCAGCTTCCTATTCATGTGTAGAGGAAGAGTGGAACAGAAGATTGAAAAATGGTTTGATGCAACTATATGAATTTGGTAAAGAGCAGAAAGCAAAGCTGTGAATTTACAGGTTGATCAGTGTTACTACTGTCACCTTTGCCCACAAGCTGTGGGCATTGACCAAAAGAAAAACAATGCAGATGGAAGCAGTAGAAATAAGTTTCTTTCAAAGTGTGTCTGGACTAACCTAAGCGTTGGGGTGAGAAGCTTGCCCATTTGTAAGCGGCTCAGAGTAGAGCTACTGCTCCTCCACATCACAAGTTGAGGTGGCTTGATCATGAGATTAGGACACCTCCAGAATGCCTCATAAATGTGGTGTTTCAGGCATAGCCAAGGACTATTGGCTTTTGTACTTAGACTGCAGCCCCTGCAACTCGACCCCTTGAATTTACCTTTGCCCTTATCCTTTCCAGTTTTAACACATTCGTATGATGTTTTCCAGAAGAAGATTCCATGCTGAACAGCTCATCTCAGAACTCATCTGTCAATGTTGTTTTGTTTGGATCACTGGCCAAGAACTTCAGTCAGTCTGCCAACCAAGGGGTAGGTCTCTGAATTAGGGCTGTGCAATATGACCAAAATCTCATATCCCAATATAAGAATTCTATCGTCCCGATAACGATATAAATCAAAAAAATGTAACATTTTCTGTAAATTCTGTGAATCTCGGGCAGCTCGACTTGCGGGAAGTGTTTCCAGCTGCGCGTCATGTAGCTGGAGTCGAGTGTTTTAACCGATGCATGAAACGATACATTTTTAGACATAAGTTGTAACAGCCGCCGTTTTCTTTGTGAGTATTTATTACACGGCGTGCTGCGGGGAAAAGCCTGTTCTAACGTTTGAGTCTAAGGTTTATTTTTTACCACCTGCCGGCTCTTTTTTACTTCTCATCCGTAAATAATCTGCTCTTTCACGTGATTCAGTTTATTTTGAAAAGTCTCAACAGGATCTTGAGCTTTATTATGAAAGGTTTATGTGGAACACAAACAAGCGGAAACGCGATGTTGTTACCGTCATTGTTGCTAACAACAACACATAAAAACAGGCGCTTGTCTGTCAGTAGTGTGGTTATATAAAATATAAGAGAAAGAGAGAACTTTAAGAAATTAATATAGCCACTACAGTGATCATCAAAACGATGAGAAAATATTGCCGTAAACATTTTATTTTGCGACACCACGAAACAAACGATAGCATAAAATGAAACGATAGATGTTTTTTTTATCGTCATCCGATATATATCGAACAGCCCTACTCTGAATCTTCAAAACTAAGTCATTTTAGACTTTTGTCTTCACAAAGCATCAAGGCTGAATGAGATGGAGTAATAAATGTTGCATTTTAAAGTTTGTATTATTTACTAGGGGTGGGGGAAAAAATCGATACTGTGTAGTATCGTGATATTTTGTTTGCTAATCATGTATCGATACAGGGACAGCAGAAATCGATATTTTGTTACAAAAAAAGTTTTTGTGGACTGGAACATGCTCTGACTTCAGAGCATGTTGATCCTTTTTCTGAGCAAGAATCCTGACACTGTCCAAATGTGTTTAACTTGTTTTTTGGCAGCAATAAACATGACAGTTTACTTATTTTAATTTAAGACATGTTTTATTTTAATTAAGTTTAAAACTTTTTTATTTAATGTAAAATTATATTTTGTTTTAATTTACTTTCAAATTCTTCAGTTGCTGAATGGGCTGCATACCGTATTATCATGACCATAAGACGCACTGTACTAAAAGGCGCAGTCTCAGTTATGTGTGCCATTACTGTATTTAACACACACATAAGGCGCACTGGACCATAGGGCGCATACAAGTACCGTATGCATATTTAAAAATAAAGCGGGAGCAAACCTGAGTTCGGTACCTTACTCACATTTCTATTACCAGTAATCGTCATCATCAACAACAACACAAGCATACAAGTGTGCGTATTTAAAAATAAAGCAGGAGCAAAACAAAGTTTGGTACTCACATTTTTATTACCAATAATCGTCATCATCAACAACAGACAAGCATACAAGTGTGCGTATTTAAAAATAAAGCAGGAGCAAAACAAAGTTTGGTACTCACATTTTTATCATCAATCAAACCCATCAAAGTCCTCATCCTCTGTGTCTGAATTGAACAGCTGCGCTAAATCTCCATCAAACATGCCAGGTTCACTTTCTTCACTGTCAGAGTCACTTTCCGTGCCGTGCGGCTCCTCGGAAACGATGCCGGCTTTTGCGAAAGCTCGAACAACAGTGCCAGCAGACATGTTAGCCCAAGCATCTACAATCCATTGGCAAATTGTGGCGTAACTCTCCCGGCGCTGCCTTCCACTCTTGGTGAAACTGTGGTCTCCATCGGTCATCCATCGCTCCCAGGCCGCTCGCAGCCTTACTTTGAACGGGCGGTTCACACCGATGTCCAGCGGTTGGAATTCCTTTGTCAGGCCTCCCGGAATGACAGCAAGCTCACAGTTCCTTTGTTTCACTAGTTTTTTCACATCGGCTGTGAGATGGGCACGCATAGAGTCACAGATTAAGAGCGATGGTGATGCGTGGAAAAAACCACCTGGTCTCCTTACATACACCTCCCTCAGCCACTCTTTCATCATTTCCTCATCCATCCAGCCCTTTTCATTTGCCTTAATGATGATTCCTGCTGGAAACTTCTCTTTAGGCAAAGTCTTTCTCTTAAAAATCACCATAGGCGGCAGTTTCTGTCCATTAGCATGGCAGCCAAGCACAACAGTAAAAGAAGACTTTTCGTGCCCCGTTGTGCGTATCGCTACCGTGCTGGTCCCCTTCTTCTCCACAGTGTGACTCACCGGGATGTCAAAAGTGAGCGGGACCTCGTCCATGTTTGTGATGTGGCTGGGCTGGATGTTTTTGTCGCCGATGTGTTTGCTGCAGTAGGAGCAGAAGATGGCCAGCTTTTCCTTATAATCCGCTGGAAGTTGCTGCGCTACCGTAGTCCTGGTCCGGATGGAAAAATGGCACCGTTTCATAAAAAGTGAAAGTGAAACTGCTTTTAGCCGAATGGTGACCGTCGAAACGCTTCTCCCGCTCGTTCTTTGCTCGATGATCCACCGCTCGAGTCTTTCCTCCAACTCGGGCCACCTCGCCTTATGTCCGCGGAAACTCAGCTGCGTTTTCTTGACCTGCCGGAGCTTGTTTTCTAGCTTCCTCCATTTGCGAACCATCGATTCGTTAATCTTAAATTCTCTCGCCGCTGCTCGATTTCCATGTTCCTCCGCGTAGCTGATGGCCTTCAGTTTAAACTGTGCTTTATAAGCCTGTCTCTTTGCCATTTTCAGGGTTGCGCCCACACTTCACCCTTTAGCGTTCTCATGGTGTTCTCTACTACGTCCTCCTTACAACACACAGGGCGCACTGCGCTATAGGGCGCGCCGTACTTTTTGAAGAAAATCTAAGACTTTTAAGTGCGCCTTATGGTCGTGAAAATACGGTAGTTTTCATAAATTGCATAGTTCAGAATAGCTATACCAGATGGTTGCATTCAGTTAAGTTGGACTAGACTGTAATACAAACCGTTCAAGTTTGTCAACAATAAAACTGACTGAAATGAGAGAAAGACTGAGTGTGAGACTTTGATATTAGATAAAATGAATATTGATAAAGTTTACCTTTATGTACAGAATCTGAATATCGCAAAATATTTAAAAAAATTGCAATAATATCGTATCGTGCGTTAAGTATTGTGATAATATCGTATCGTGGGATGTATGGTGATTCCCACCTCTATTATTTACATTGAAAAACTAAGGAGTGGTTTTGTTAGAAACATCTAAAAAAGCCAGCACAGTTCTGGAAAAACATTCTTTGTACAGATGAAATCAAGATCAACCTCTACTAGAATGATGGCAAAAAAAAAGTTTGGAAAAGGTGTAGAACAGCTCACGATCCAAAGCATACCACATCATAAACACAGCGAAGGCAGTGCGATGGTTTGGGCATGTATGGCTGCCATCGACACTAGTGTTTATTAACCCTTTCATGCATAGTGGTCACTACAGTGGACAGCTATTCAAAGACTGTTTTTATTGTACTTGTGTCAGTGTTGATGGTATACTTGTACATAAACCACTACATTGGACACTGATGTGTCACTCAATACCCTGCCATCCACTGGTCGTTTAATGTTACTATAGATATATGACATGTTTCATTGTAATTGTTGTTATTTAATCCCTAATTATTCATCTTTTCATGGCTAAAGATGAGGTTATCATAAATCATGCATGAAAGAGTTGATGATGTGACACAGGACAGAAGCAGCTGAATGAATTCTGAGGTGTCTGTCTGACATACTGTCTGCTCAAATTGAGCTAAATGCAGTCAAATTGATAAAGGAGTTTCATTATACAGATGAACAATGTCCCAAAACATACAGCCAAAGCAACCCATGAGTTTATTAAAGCAAAGTAGTGGAATATTCTTAAATGGCCAAGTCAGTCACCTGATCCCAACTGAGCATTTCACTTGTTGAAGGTTAAACTTTCGATAGAAAGGCCCAGAAACAAACAGCAACTGAAAGCCGCTGCAGTAAAGGCTGGCAGAGCATTAGAAAGGAGGAAACCCAACATCTGGTGATGTCACTGAAATGAAGGGATTGTGTTTAAAAAATTGCTTTAGTTCCCCACATTTTTGGTGCAATCTTTTTGTCCAGCCCACTGAATTAAAGCCAAACCGCAACTGCATCTGAGTTGTTTACCTAAAATTTACTGTGTTAATGTACAGAATCAAAATTAGAAAAAAGGGATCTGTGTCCAAATATTTAACTGTATATTTGCTATTTCCAGTCAGTACTGTTTGCCAGTGTTACAAGTGGCTCTACTTTGCAACAAAATTGGGAGGCCACACAACTAAGTTACGCATTAACTATTTTATTTGCAAAAGGTAGAAACGGGTCATAAATCAGTAAACAGTGGTGAGGTGTTTGCTTGAGGGTCTATCAGACTGGGAGGCTGTTTACCATGTGAGGAGCAGCAAGAGAAAAACATGTCAGTGCTTTATAATGGCCTTTATTATTAGCTCCTGATGACAACCAGTTGGCTAGAAATTCCTCGTTCCTTCCATGAGTGACATAACCTAACAAAATAGATTAGGAGGCTCATCACACCATTTAGAAAAAAATGTTAAAATAATGTTCACATCAAATGTCTTCACGAAGTCTAAGGAACACAAGCCATATCGCATTTTTGACCAAAAAGATTTGGCTTTGGTTTTATTTGAGCTGTTCTAGCTGTTATTAGTGAGTTGTTATTAGTCTTTAGTGAACACTTAAATGCAGGGTTTGGGATTTGCCAATGATTGCCGCAACTGTGAGAGACCAAATGAAACTATCCATAATAATATTTTTTTTGTTATTTCTGAAGTTATTCAATTTATCTATGATGTTACTTTATAAAAAAAAATACTTTTATTCATTAAAGACTAACCCCTACAGTAAATACATTTAAGGAATACTGGCAGATGATTGGTTTAGAAACTGCCGACCCTCACCCATCTTTTATCTTGGTCTAATTATTATGATTAATCACTGGCTCTCCCATACAATGTCTTTTGTCCTGTCTTCCTCTTCTCACCGCCAACCGGTCGTGGCAGATGGCCGCCCCTCTCTGAGCCTGATTCTGCCAGAGGTTTTTTCCTGTTAAAAGGGAGTTTTTCATTCCCACCAAAGAGAGGGTGTTCAATACCCTGCTCATTTGAAACTAAGAACTGACACTTACAGAGTGTTGAATGAGGAACAATTTTTGTAATGAGTTGTATTATGTTATTTCCAAATGGAAATTAGGGCTGGACGATATGGTCTAAAATCCATATTGCGATATAATTTGAAGCACGTGCGGTTACGATATATACCGCGATATATTCTTTTCTTCTGTATAATGTATTTTCCACACTATAAGGCACACTTAAAATCCTTTAATTTTCTCAAAAATCGAGTGTGCCTTATGTGTGAATTCTGGTTGTGCTTACTGACCTCGAACCGATTTTTGACGTGCAGAAATCTGTTTAAAAATGTTTTGATGGATTGTCAGAGCATTACGGCTGCCGTAGTGAGGAGCTTCGCGGAGTAATCTGGGTCCAAAACTCCGTCCGCTTCAGGTCCCAAAGTCAAACGAACACTGAGAGTTAAAAAGTCTAAATTCTTCCATCTTTAATAAAATCATCAGCATTGCTGCTTTACCAGGTGTAACAATTAAGTTTAACATCCATGCATCCATGAAAACAGAATTTATTAAATTTAACGGAGTTACAAGTTAACGGGAAGTTAGCTTGCTAGTTTCCACCTAAACATGACATACCATGTTCTGACTGAGAGATTTTTGAAACTAATTAAAACGTTCAGCTCTGATACCACTTCCAAAATAATGAAGACAGAAAACTAAACAGCAGTGGCGTTTCCAGGGTTACTGAAGTTGGACTACCTGGTATATAATGTTGTGCTACGTGATTGCTAGCGACACAGCTACGTTAGCATAACATTAGCACAGTGAAGCTGGAGGATGAACACCAACTTTTTTTTTTCCACTCATTAAAAGTTAACGTGAGGGATTCTGGTGGTCAGGGACAAATGCAATTGCATAGCAGGATGCTGTACACGGGCCAAACTTCAGTCAGGAGAACAACTGAGATTATTCATCCACAATACGAGGTTAGTTATTAATATACTGCAACAACATGGGAATAGAGCAGCTGCGAGAGAATTCAACATTAATGAATCAATGTTACGGAAGTGGAGGAAGCACAGTTTTTGCCTTTCCCCGTATTTCAAAAGTGCTTCATCTCTTTGCTATGACTGTCGATCGGCATAATTTGCAGATGATAATGGTTTTACCTGCTGCGATGCTTTCGATCAAAACAGGCACAGCGTGATGGCATCATCAACATGCCCTATCACGGTATAGTCAAAATCTCTATCATTGGCCAAATTTATATCGTTTCTATCGTACATCGTTTCTATCGCCCACCCCTAATGGAAATTATAATTTTCTTTCATAAAACCTGTTACTTAAATGTGTAATGAGCTGAGGGGCATTCGTGTGATTTGTGGATGAATATAAAATTATTTCTTTTTTGTTTTGATTAGCTGAATCACTTTGCACATAGAGTATTTGAAGAAATCAGTGGTGAGTTGTGTTTGTGTCTTTGATTGGTTGAAGTAATGAAATCTTATGCTCTAAAAAATACAATAGTATAAAGTATACGTTATCAATGTTATCTTATGAATTTTATTTTATTGTAATAACAAATATTTGCAAAGAGCAAAGACTTGTCATGTCTCCAGGACATGTCTCCATTTGGTAATATTAAAGACTGGATTTTAACACTTTAAATAGCTTTAAAGAGTAGACTTTAATGGTGAGTTCTGTTCTGTTCACCTGATTAGTTCCTCACGTTTCAAGTGTAACACTAAAATATCTCGGTTAGCTCCTGTCAGTTTTGCTCCAGCTCACTGTGACAGTCTGCTATGATACTGTACTGTATAACATCTGTGACATTTTTGCAGAGTTGAATTTGTTTGTGTCCAGGGCAGAGACATTGAGTACATCAACGATAATCCTCCCCAGCTGCATATCACTATGTTTTTGGTTTCCTCACAGTAGCATTTTCATGGAACTCAAAGCTCCCATAAAGCTTGTTAAAGGCTGGAAGTCATCACAGCTTGAGCTGTTGCACTCAGCCATATATCCCAAAGATTTTGTCAGGCTGTGTCTCTGTAACATGATTATTCAGAGTATCTGCTGTCCCCTTGTCAGCCCTGAGGGGAGGCTTTGAAGCCATATTGGGGTAGCTGACATGCCAAACAAAAGACAATCTACACTTTTCTCACCAGCTTATCATCTGTGGGATGTGTTGACGTCTTGCTCCCAACACAAAAGTCTCTCAGGGCGCAATATTTGCTGCTCCAATTCTCCCTCTGGAAGAAAAGTTGCATGATTTGTCTCTCAGCTCTCTGGGTTTAAATTTCTGATTTCTCCTGTTATTGTTTTTTTAATCTTGTGTTTTCTTACAGGATGTAGTGGTGGCCTCTGGCTTCACTGTGGGCAAATCTCCCACAGTTCATAAGGACAATCTGCACCCCTGTAACCTGCTGCTAACAGAAGATGGAGCCTGCATTTATGTAAGGACCAGTAACTAATATAATGTATACATTAGCATTAGGCATTAATGCAAAAATTCTGTTTCATATTCACAATTTGACAGTTCTTTGATGCTCCCTGTCTTTAATTTATTCTTCAGAACTTTTTATATATGTTGACTCATATATTTTCGTGTTTAAAAAGCAACACTAATCATCCCTACATCAATTTTCTTAACTACTTGTCCAATATATGGTTTTCGAGGGCTGAAGCCTATGTCAGCTGACATTGGGTGACAAAAGTAAAAGGGACTAATGTAACAAAAAATTAAAAACAAAATATATATATATATATATATTATAAAATTATTTTTAAGTTCAATAACTCCATGATGTTTCATCATAAATAATCAAGATTATAATATTAACTGAAACAGGGGTCGGCAACCTTTCTGATGATGAGTGCCATTTAAAATTTCCTCTGAAGTCAATGTGCCATATGATTGCATTAGCAATAAATTTAATAACGCTCTGTCTTAACAGTTACACACTATATAGAACCACTTTATAGAATTATATTTGTTCGCAGATGTTGGCAGCTATCAGCGAATAGTTATCAGCTATTTTGAAACAAAAAAAAGACACTTTTTATCCATAACAAAGACTCCATAACAGCAAATGAACTGTACAACAGAAAATACAAATGCTATTTATGGTCTCCTCACAACAATGATAAGAAAAATAAACTGGGCCAATATGGCATGTTTGTTAATACACTCTGATCTCTGGTCTCCCACTCAGAGACTCAGGTCTCCAAGTGTCCAGCATTCAGACGGCTACCTGAGGACACTCATGTGAGAGAAAATCTGCTCACACAGATATGTAGAGCCAAATACTGTCAATAAGGCCTCTGCAATGTTCTGAAGACAGTTAAACTTGTTAGGTAGTGATGCACAGCAGGTGAAAATGCAAGCTCCATGAACACGCACAGCTGTGGATTCCAGCTGCTTCGATGTTGCATTAACTCAGCCAGTTAATGCGAGACAAATCTAACTGCTCATTAAAGATTTCTGGTTTGATCAGAAAATAAAACATTGGTCCATACACCTGAAAGTTCCAAAAACATCTTGTGAATTCTGTCTACGGATGTATCTCTGTATTTCCGTGGTGCTGATGCTGTGCTGAGCGGAAAGCTCCTGAAGCATTTGAAGTGTCGAAATGTGGAAAGCTAACAACGTCCCTCTCACCAGTAGGCTAAGTGATTTTTAGCCAATTACAAGTTGAATCTGGTACTTGGGGTTGTTAGTTAAGATACCGTCATTAAGAAGAGGCACAACTAATGTGTCTATGCGAGCTAATTTGCGATGTGCACCGCTGGCGCGGCCAATTATTTTTTAATGCACCTTCTCAGATTAATTCACTGTGTGTGAAAAATCAGCCCGGGCATTTTGACTAAAGACTGGCCCACCAGGTATTAAAACCATAAAGCCTTTGTAACTACTTGTTTAAACCAGGTAAAATGGATAGGGTGTTTTTAGAATGGGGGGAAAAGGGATTGAAATACATTGAGGACTTATATACAGATGACAAATTTATGTCCTTCCTTCAACTTCAAGAAAAGTTTCAATTACCTCAATCACATTTTTTTCGTTATCTTCAAATAAGGAATTTTGTTCAACAAAACTTTTCAGACTTTCCACTGAAGTCACGAAGTTATACTTACTTTGATATAATTCGGAAAGCAGATTTTAAACATTTGATATCTCAGTTTGTTAAGTGCTTTACAATCCCAGTTGATTCCGACCGAATTAAGAAAACATGGGCTGAAGACCTCGGGGTCCCTCTGTCGGAAGACCAATGGTCAAATTGTTTGTCCAATATTCAGAAAGGCTCAATAAATGCCAGATATAAACTAATCCAGTTTAAAGTCATTCATAGACTACACTTTTCTAAACTTAAACTTAACCGGATCTATAATTCTGTATCCCCCTTATGTGACAGATGTAAAGTCGGTGAAGGTTCCCTTGCACATTTATTTTGGCATTGCCCGGTTTTGAATGCTTTTTGGAGCCGGATTTTTATGTGGTTTTCAAACCAATTTAGGAAAAAAGTACCACGTGATGGTACGTTGGCTATACTTGGATCATTTGCATCAGTCGAATCTTTTTCCTTTTCACAAAAACAGATAATTACAATGGGTATGCTGGCTGCAAAGAAACTTATTCTTTTACAGTGGCGGTCTTCTTCGGCCCCGTGTTTTAACAGGTGGCTTAATGAGATGGTGTCTGTGGCCAGGGTGGAGCAGATAAGATTTGATAGAGAGGGGAAACTGGCGAGTTTTTGTATGATTTGGCAACCATTTCTAGAATTCTTAAAAAAATAACTGATCATAATTCATGCCTCACACTCCGCGTGAATTATTTTATTTTATTTTTTTTGTTTTTTTCTTCCTCTTCTTTTTCTTCTTTTTTCCTTTCTTTTTTTTTCCTTTCATGCTTATAAGTTCACAAATGTTAAAAACAGTAATTGTTCTTGGTTGATTTTGTATAAGCATGTTATGTTTAATTTAAATGCAAAAATAAAATGTAAGAAAAAAACCCCCATAAAGCCTTTGAATGAAAACAAACACTGTTGTGACAGTGATGTACAGTCTTGTTGGTATATGTATGATTTCTCTACATTTTACATCAGATAAAAACTTTGGTTGTAAGCTTCAGATAATTATTTAATAACATTTTAAATGAGAATAAGAAAGAAAAGTATTTCTTTGTGCCCCCCTTTCCCCGTTAATGCCCTACCTGGCCCCCTGGCAAAACTTTGCTAGACCCGCCCCTGCACAGTTACCAGCTGTCAGCTACTTAGAAAAGGATCCTGGTGTTATTTGTCTCTCAGAAACCGTTCATAACTTCCCTTCAACTCATTCATGTCACCTAAAAGGTAAACCTGTTTCTCCATCACCTGTTCAGCTCTGATGATCCAGTAAGGACATCTCCTGGTTTCATCCTCATGTTTCCCTCTCACCACATATCCAAACCAACATCATGACCAGCAGCTTTACAGCTGTGGCTCCAGCAAACATCAGCTGATACTAGAAATTAATATTAAATAAATTCTAAAAACAGCTGATCAAGCTTAAACGTGCTGCTGTTGTTTAGCGCGACATCTGGCGGTATCTTCTTTCTGGCGCAAAGTGGGCGATAAACAAACAAGAGAGAAAAGCTGATCAGCTGATCATTGATCAGTTTCAGTAGCAACAGGAGAGAGAGGGGAGAGAATGAGAGGGGAAGAGGCAGCTGTGCAGCAAAGACAAAGAATAATTCCAGCTTTGTGTCTTTTTCATTGTAGCTGAAGTCCAGGACAAACTGCGTCCCCTCTCAGCTCAACATGAAACGCGTAATAATTTCTCTGAATGCGGGACGATTCCGTCTTTTTACGGGACGGTTGGCAACTCAACTAACTAACCTTATGAATAAAATAAAGTTCACTATCAGTAACAACATAGCACCCACCCAGCTGTATAGAAACTCCGTCATGCTAGCTAGTACGCAGTACGAGTTATTGTAACTGACTGTAAAATGTCAGCACAACGAAAATAAACTCCACCTAAACTTGGTTTATATCTGACACAGATAGACTGCAGGTCATAACTTCTTACCTGAAGTTCAGTTCACCTGATACGTGGACCGGCAGCTGCCTCGGGGCTCTCCTCCTCCTGCCTCCGATCTCCCTCATCCACCTGCTGGCCTCCACCACTTGTTAATTTTACTGAATCTGTGGAAGGTCTGCGATGCCACCACCAAACAACACACCGGCCAGCATCTGGCCAATCCACCACCTTTTATTGTTTATACCGTTACAAAAAAAAAAAAAATCGGGCCACCCAGCAAATGCCCGGTATGCTCGATGGCCAGTCCAGCCATGGTCGTGCCATCAGTTAAGCCTTCACGTGCCAACTGTGGCACGCATGCCTAGGGTTGCCGACCCCTTAACTAAAACATTACATTTGCTGTTATTAATAAGTAACATTTAATCACACATGCTTTACTAATGTGACTACTACTGTTCTGCATGTCCTCCTACAATCCAAAGATATGCACTTGAGGTTACCTGGTGACTCTAAATTTGCCGTATATCTTAATGCTGTTGCATTGCAAATCACATGGCATTATGTCTGCCAAGGAGATGTACAGGAAACTTTATAGAGGTCATATAAAGTCATGTTAACAGTTCATTAAAATCCATTTTGATGACGTCCAACAAGGTCTTCAAAATCATCTTAAACATTTATTAGTCTTAAATTGACAAAAGGCCTTATAACGTAGGGGGGGGGGAATCACTAAAGCACCTCACCTCACCTCTTTCTCCTGTCTCCTTTTAGGTGTTGCGTCCAGTGCTTCCTAACCCCAGATCCCCACCAGCCAACAAAAGGAGATCCCCAGTCTCTGCTGAGGTCAGAATGAGTATCCTGTTTAGTTATAGAGATTGCTGGAGTGTGTCTTGGAGGTCTGGTAGCTGTCAGAATGCTTTATGTCATTTAAGGGCTGTCCTAACATACCCTTCCGTGAATTGGGATGTCCCCAGACTTTTGTGTCTGCCTATTTGTCATTGTTTAACAGCTTCTTTAAGCCTTTAAAAATCGAGCTTTGAATAACTGCTTGCTAGGGATTGGAAGTGAACCGGGTCTTGCAGAAAACCGGTTCTCAGTATTCCAATTCCTTGAAATTCTTGGTCAGTTAATGAGAACACAATGACAATCGATAAGTGAATCAATAAGGAATCGAATCGATCAGTGATATCTGTAATGGAATTGAAATTGCTAAACTTGTGTCAGTTCCAATCCTTAAAGCTTGCTATTGCTGTTTTCACAAATGGCTTAAAACATGTACAAATCAGCAGATGATGATAATAAGTATATTTTTAGCTAAAGCCAAAATGCTTAAAAAAAACCCTCAAATTACACAGTTAATTGTTTAATTGTCTAAATGACAATATTCAGAAGCCTTAAAACCTAAAGCTGATTTTGTACAGAAAGTCTGGATTTTTGGCATCTTAAGCCATCCCCTCTGTTCAACGATGGCTGTTCACAGTGGCTGCTTCTGGGACTTGCTCAGTTGTCTTCAGTCATAATACAAAATATTAAAGGAGCACAAGGAAGATGTCAGAAATGAACAGATACTTGTTTTTGTATAATTGTAGGTAGTAGCATTTAACACCTCAAATACAGGACATGTATTAAGTTGCAGAATTTATCAGTGCAGAATTGACATGATCTGTCGGCGTGTCTGTGGCTGAATGTTAACATGCTCATATTGGTGTTTTAACACAGTTTTGCTTCTCCTCAGCTTTCTTCAGCCAAGGCTCCAAAGTACACATATGCCAAACTGGACAGCTTGAAAGCTGGATCTGTTGTCAATGTGTATGGTGTAGTGGTGTTCTTCAAACAGCCTTTTAAGAGCCGTGGTACAGGTCAGTAAGGAACCCATATCAGAGTTTAGTTGGACTTTTAACCAGAAGATAAGGTGGATAAAGCTGTGCTAGTTGCTACTTAAGTAGCTTCACTCAGCAGGCTATTTGTTTCCGTAGTAGCCTTCGTCAAAAAATGCATTCATCTTCTATCGATGTTTGTGGCAATGTCTGGCATTAAAAACAGAAGCTCTTCATCTCCCCGACCACGTGATCTGCAGCTCAGAAACAGGTTTGCTGTCCTGTATGAACTTATTCACTCTAACCTGTCTATGAAGCCCTCTGAGCATCCACTTTTGCGTCTCTCTCAAAGAATTATTTAAACATAAAAAGAACCCCCTCAGATCTTGAGCCCCTGGCATCCCATTGTAAACTTCAGGTAAAGAATTTTGGCGTCATGGTTTTTCTTTATTAATTCACCGTAACTTTAAGATGGATCAAACTATGTTAAACTCAACTTTCTGTAAGACTTTTAACTAAAGTTAAACCACTTTTATTCTATCAATTCATCTTCATTCATGCCTTTATTATATCCAAACTATACTTTTGCAGTCAGTTATAGACTAAATATAACACTGATGGAGGACATTTTTCTGCAAAATAATTATTTTTACTTTTGATACTATATGCAAAACTTTCAAATAATACAATTTTATGTGCACTAAAGTGTTTTCATAGTTCTTTATTACTTCCATTTCTAAAAAAAAGTCTCTTATGTAGCATGTATAGAGGCTTGCTTATTTACAGGTGAGTGAAATCAATACTCGTGGTTTGAGTATTGGCATGATTTATGAACACAAAGCACAAAGGAATTCACAAAAAGATTGAGTGAATAAATGAACCACAAAAAATCAAATTAAGTTATTTTTTATTGCTATTCTTGGCAGTGATTATTCCCATGCTGACACTGTTGCATGACAGCCAAGAGGCCATCGAATATAGTTAAAAATGACAACAAAGGTTTTCACGTGCAACAAAATTAACATAAAAATAAACATTTTATTTTTAACCAATTGGATGGAAAGCAGGGGCTGAAGCCTCCTCTCCAAAAGAGAGTTGGGGAATGGCTGCAATCACAGCATTGTAAGATGGTGAAAAATGTACCCTTAGACCCCCTCCTCGATTCAGAGATGGTCTTTCCCTTTACTTTACCCTCTGTGAATGGTACTCATGACCATTGATCAATGGTTCTTGATCAGTGATCATTAGAATTTGCGTATTAATGATCAGGGAACTGACCTCCCAGCCCATTGTTCATCAGTGGGCTGGTTTCAGTCATTGTTAAAATGTACTGTTTATAAGATTGGGGAAACCTGCAGTCAGCTGACACTGAAAAAGTCACTTGGATGAGTGACGAAACATTTCTCCTACTGAAAACACTACGTCCAGATGAACAGAATCAACCTTTTCGGGCTTCTGTTTAATAGTTTCCCTTCCTACTCACAGTCATTCAGCCAGTCTGATTTCCCAGTTATTTGGGACAATCTGTTGGGGACAGTAGCTAAACTGTAGCTAAACTGCTTTCGCTTGCACCTACTACAGGTACCTGGCTAGCTACAGGATTTTCACAGGTGTCGAGCTGTGTCTTCAGTTCACTGAGCTTGGCCTCCAAAGCTAAAGCCAGGTTGCATTAGAAGTATCATTACCAAAAAAGCCCAAGGAATAGCTTAACATTTGACACACTGAGGAGGAAGGTTCAGGAGGGACAGGTGAAGAAGACAAGTGTTGGTGCTTACTGTCCTAGTCTCTGAAACAGTTGAATTGTTTTTATGGTAGACTAGACACTTTTTTCTGATATCATAAAGTTCTCTTTTCACAGATTTCTGCTCTAGCCTGAAGATTACTGACCACTCTAATGAAAAGATTGGCTGCACCATCTTCTGTGAGAAACTGGAGGACCATCCCAAAATCTTTCGGAATGGAGACATTGTTCGCATGCACAGAGTTAAGGTGCAAGACTGCAGAGTGCATTTAGTGTGTTTAGTATCTATATTTTGCCCTACTGATTTGTAAATTTTCAGGTGAGAATTAAATATTGCAAAATCACCTCTATTAATAAATAGTAATATTAATGTATTGATGAATAATCTTTATTCATGTGAAATGTAATAAATAATTCTACATCTGTCTACACAGGCTCAAGTTTTCAACAAGTCCATCACGCTGGTCAACACCTTTGGTTTTTCTGTGGTGACATTTGATGGGGTGAAAGGTGCACCGGTCGAACCGCGGACATCCAGCCGTTCATTCCACTTTGACCCAGACGACCAGCGGACGGTGGAGGAGCTACGATCCTGGGCTGCCAGTCAGGCTCTCTTCGCCTCAGTTACCAGCACAGTCCCACTGTCTGCTGTTCAGCCCAAAGCTTACTTTGACCTGACCTGCCAGCTGCTGGCCAAGGCCCCTGTTGATACCACCTGCACCTTGTTGAGGGTAAGAAACCTGAAGAAAAGCACTTTTCAATGCCATGTGAATGTTTTTGAAAGAATTTGTTAACCTTTGTTTTCCACGTGAATTAACATCCGTAATCTTGTGGCTTCAACTGGGAAGAGATCTCATGTGTTTTGTTTTGCTACTGATGTGTTTTACTTTACACCTCAGGTTTGAGAACAGAAGCTACGCTGTAAGTGGTGACTGGTTTCCTGCCAGTGATGGGGGAGATAAATTTGAATAGGATTTGGCAGTAAACGCCAGGCTCTTGCCAATCAGCTCTCACCCACTTCTAGAGTCTTTTGTTATGCAACAACACATACAATCAGGAAAATATGTTTTTCAAATTATAGCAGGCTATTTGATAAAGAAAAGAAAACCTCATCAAAAAGAAGATCAAAACTGTCAGTGGAATGTGGTGATTCACTCAGACACCAAAAGTGACAATTGGTGGAAGAATACTTGCATCCTTGTAGTCTTGGGATCATGTGTTGGTGCCACCTGACCAGAACCTTCAAATCCAGAACCTTAATGTTGTAAGAGGCCAGTGACAACTCACCATGCATAATCTTTCTCTGTTCCATTTAGTAATGCCTGTTTTCAAATAGCTGTTCAGGCTTTGTGATTCTTTCATGATTCTATTCCAATACAGCGTGATATTGCTTCTGCTTTTTAGGCACCATGTTTGTATTCAGGCATAGAGCTTTTTGAGACTGTACGGGCTGCAAAATGCTGCAAAATTAGAGTGACAGATGACTAGATGAGCATCACCTGCATGTTTCTGTGCTTTTATCAGGTCAAAAATGTGTGTCGTGCTCATTACCTATATCATGTTTTTTTATTTTCCCAGGTGTGGGATGGGACCAGGTGTCCTCACACTCTGCTGAAGGTAATTGTTGAGCCACATGTCACAGAGGGACAGTTGTCCTTCTCCAAGGAGAGGGAGAACCTCATTGCCGATGTCCTCGTCTATGACAACCATGTGGAAGTGGCTAGAAAACTGAAGGTCAGAGATTATAGATAATCTTAGAGCTAAATCTTGTGATTACCCTCAGAAATCACATTCATCTTCATCTTTACCTTTACTAATTTACTCTTTGCGTATATGGTACGGAAGCCTGTGTGAATAAAAACAAACAAACATATTTTGCAAAGTACACTTGGGTACTGTTATAACTGCAGGTAGCTGATTATTAAATATTTCATTGGCATTACGCTTTCTTTGGTGTCACACGAGGCAATCATTTGACTGCCCCATAAACAGCCCTTATTCTTCTCAAAGAAGCAATTAAAGTAATTGAAAGTAGAAAAAACTGAACGTGTAAATTTATACAATGAAGCCAGAAGGAGGAGCTGCTGAGAGAAACCAAGGGACACAGGTGGTATTAGATGTGTCAGAAGGCCACAATGGCTGCAGGACTACTTACTTCATACAAACTGGGACAGTAGCTTCTCAAAACAAAGCTGACAATGGTTGGTACATGTAATAATGTTAATAAAGACACAGTCTCAATTCATTTTTCCTATCATAAGCCAGATAAGCGTAATATTTCCTCTGAATACGGGACGATTCCGTCTTTTTACGGGACGATTGGCAACTCTACTAACTAATCTTATGAATAAAATAAAATTCACTATCAGTAACATCAAAGCACCCACCCAGCAGTATATAAACTCTGTCATGCTAGCTAGTACGCAGTACGAGTTATTGTAACAGACTGTAAAAAGTCAGCACAACGAAAATAAACTCCACCTAAACTTGGTTCATATCTGACTCAGATAGACTGCAGGTCATAACTTCTTACCTGAAGTTCAGTTCACCTGACACTCGGACTGGCGGTCGCCTCGGGTCTCTCCTCCTCCTGCCTCCCCTTTCTCTCATCCACCTGCTGGCCTCCACCACTTGTTGTTACTGAATCTGTGGAAGCTGCCATAGCTACCACCAAACAACTGAGTTATTTTTACACCCCGGCCAACATCTGGCCAATCCACCACCTTTCATTGTTTATACCGTTACAAAAAGAAAAAAAATCATCGACCCACCGAGCAAATGCCCGGTATGCTCGATGGCCAGTCCAGCTATGGCCGTGCCATCAGTTAAGACTTCGAGTGCCAACTGTAGCACGCGTGCCTAGGGTTGCCGACCCCTGCTCTATAGCAACCAGGCTCACACCTGCCTGCTTAATGAGCTCTGTCTGTCACTGCCAAGATTAATATTAAATCTTGGCAGAGTCTTCTGTTTCAACTGTTGCTGTGTCCACAGTGTTTGCTCTACATCCATCATTTTACCCTCAAAACGTAGCCACTGTTGTTCTCTTTCCAACAGTGTGTCTTTTAAAGTTCAGCGATATAAAATTTTTAAACTGTATTGCTCAAAGTACAGGGATAACCTTCTAACTGACCCATAGAAAAACATTGTATTTTTTTTTAAAGTGAATTTGCTCTTTTCTTTTTTTTAATTATTCTTTTTTATATTAACCATCACATCTCTATATCTATACATACATATTTATATACCTAAATGAGTATATACAAAGGAGGAAAGAAAAAAAGAAGAAAAAAAAGGGGAAAGAGAGAAGAAAAAACAAACAAACAAACAACAAAACAAAACAAACCCCCCCCCAAAAGAACAATACACCTGCCCAGACCAATATATATAAACTTGGAGCAGATATGGGAGGAGGCCTTCCCTCCCAGTTTACTTATTGAAGTAATCTATAAAAGGTTGCCAAATTAGGTAAAAGTGTTTAACATTATCTCTCAGTGAAAACTTAATTTTCTCCAGCTGTAAATGATACATTGTGTCTACACAATGCATCATTTCAAGCAGAGTGAGTTGGGGAGGGGTTATTTTTCCAATTTAGAAGTATAAGGCGTCTTGCAAGCAGTGCTATAAAACTCAAAACATGAATTTGTTTGTTATTTAAGTATTTAACTGTAGCTGCACCAACAAGTGCCATTACTGGGTCTGGGAGGAGACGTATGTGACAATGAGGCAGAATTCTGGTCACATCGATCACATCTTGAGTTCACCCCTGGAAACATCCTTGAAACCTTCAGTTTAGACAAATGGAGCCTATGCAGGACCTTAAATTGTAGTAGTCCGTGCCTGCAGCAGACAGAAGTGGAGTGAATGAGTTCTTGTGCTTTAGTTCATTGATCTTCAGTGATGTTAGTATCCAGTTCCTCACTCCAAGCGTTTCTCAAGTGGTCCAATGTAGTTGTACTATTTGCAAAAGTTGGTTGTAGATCCTGGAAATAGCTCCTTTCTTTAGCGGGTTCATCAGGAACAGATCATCTGAAACTAGTTTTTGTGGTTCATTCGGAAAGGATGGAAACGTTTCTTTAATAAAATGACGTATTTGTAAATACTTGAAAAAGTCGTTGAAACGAAGGAAAAAGATTATCAATAAACAGATCCTTGATTGTGTGTATCCCTTTGGAAGTCCATAGCTGGAATGTGGATCCTGAGAACAATGTGTATGCTTGATTATGAGTTAATGGTGTAAAGATTGAACATTGACGCCAATGAAAATGCCTTCTAATCTGAGACCAAATTTTTAGTGAGTTGGATACTACCGAATTTTTACATTTATACTTACCCGGATCTGAATTTGAAAAAACCAAAGATTTAAGAGTATTAGGGAAAAAAGTCATACTTTCCATCCGTTCCCAATCAGGTCTATGTTCCCCACCCCAGAATGACATACAACGTATGTTACAGGCCCAATAATAGAGCTGAAAGCAAGGCAACCCCATTCCTCCTGTAATCTTGGGTCTTTGGTCTTTATTCTGGGTGTCTTTTTGTTCCAGATAAACTGAGAAATTAACTGGTCTATTTTCTTGAAAGAAGTTTTTGTGATCAATATTGGGATACATTGAAACAAAAATAAGAATTTGGGTAAAGTGCTCATCCTAATGATATTTATTCGGCCAGCAAGCGAGATGGGCAGTTTAGACAGTCTTTCCAAGTTCTTTTCAGTTTGATGGTATAAATTAATAAAATTATGTTTGAAAAGGCCAGAGAATTCACGGGTTACATTTATTCCAAGGTATTTGAGATGGTAAAAGGAAACAAAGTCAATGGAGTGCTATCTAACTTTTCTAAAGAACTAATAGGAAACAATATGCTTTTTCTTAGGTTGATTTTGTATCCAGAAATTTTCCCAACTTCAGTTAAAACTCATAATTTTTGGCAATGGTTTAATAGGGTCAGTGATATATAGCAACAAATCATCTGCATAGAGAGACACCTTATGTTCTACACCAAATCTCCTTATTCCTTTATAATTCTTTGTAGAGCGTAATTGCATGGCGAGAGGTTCTATGACAAGTGCAAATAGCAATGGGGTCAGAGGACACCCTTGTCTTGTAGAGCGGTGGAGGAGGAAAGGACTAGAAATTATCGTATTTGTGTTAACCGAGGCCTGAGGTTTTGTGTAAAGCAGCTTAACAAAGGAAATATGATTTGGGCCTATGCCAAACTTTGACAGGGTCGGGAAGAGGAAATCCCACTCGACACTGTCAAAGGCCTTCTTCGCATCTAGTGAGAGTAGTATTTCAGATTGATCATAAATATTATGTGTATATATAACATTTAATAGCCTTCTAATATTAAAAAATAACTGTCTATTTTTTACAAATCCCGTTTGATCCTCCGACACAACTGTTGGGAGAACTATCTCTAATCGCATAGCCTGAATTTTTGCCAATATTTTATTATCTACGTTCAATAGACTTATTGGTCGGTACGAACCTGGCTCCAAAGGATCTTTACCAGGCTTGTGGATTAAAGTGATAGTGGTATCATACATGGTTGAGGGTAAGCATCCTTTAGATAAAGCTTCGTTATATACCTAAAAAAAAAAACCATTGTATTTTTAGTGAGAAGTTTATCTCAACATCAGGAATGACCCCACTTTTTAAATCGCTTCTGTGACCACATTTTTGACAGCAGGAACATAAAGAACACACTGTTGTGTAGAACAAGTCCTCGGGATCCTCGTGGTTTGAAACTGATTTTGACAGGAGTTAGAGTCTTGGATTAAGAAGCAGTTTTTCAACAGGTGCACCGAGGTAGATTTGACAGGGTTTTGCCACAGAATAATAGTATGTCAGTAGTTAGTGCAGGCCTACTGGATAGAGCATTTTGCTTGGCCTGCTAAATTCAAGCTTATTGTTCATTGGTGGATTTCTCTTCTGCACACAGGTGGTTCAGATCTAGGCAGTTGGAATCAGATGATGACTCTTGTGACTGGATGATTAAACTTACAGCATTTAGCTGTCTAGAGTGAATTCTCCCACATTTCAGTCATTCAGTGATTTAAAGAATATGAACTTTTAATATTCATTAAGATGTTTTTGATTCTAAATTTTCTTTTGTCATTACTCAGCTTTCTCAAATGTACATTTTAAACCTGTTCAGCTACTTTCCAACTTCTTCTGTGTAAATGTCAGCTTTCATCAGTTCTACACTTTTCTATTTAGGTGAAAAGCAATGTGAAAGCTATCAGCATTCACATTGCAGTTTCTTCCGAATATACATTTTCTAGTTAAACATATGTTTTCTCTACTGTTGGAAAATGAGATAAAGAAAATATATGTTAATGGTTTACGAAGTAAAATTTTATTTTAGACTAAAACACCAAACAATGCCCTGAGTCACTTCAACCCAAGGGATACCAGCATGTACTAAAAATGAAGACCATACAAGGGTTAAACAGACCGTCCAAGTCTGAAAACCCTCCAATGTGAATTAAAACAATCCTGATAAGAAGAGTGAGGCAATTAGGGTAATTAATTGATGAATTTACTCAGGTCATCTTTGTCTAATATTAAAATTAGTTTGATGATCTGAAACATATAAGTGCAACAACATTGCAAAAACTAAGAAATCAGGAAGGATGCAAATACTTTTTCATGGTAATGTATAAGTCTGTGAAAGACGGTGACAATAGTGGGCGAGCATATCCATCATTATTCAGAGCACCAAGATATAAATCATAT